GTTTACATACACACGCACGCACGTTTACATACACACGCACGCACGTTTACATACACACGCACGCACGTTTACATACACACGCACGCACGTTTACATACACACGCACGCACGCATGCATGCGCGCAGGTGTACGTGCACACGCACGCACGCACGTCTACGTGCACATGCATGCACACACGCACGTGTACAGGTCTGTACACACACGCACGTACGCACCAACGCACTCATGCACACACGTGTACCTGCACACGCGCGCACGCACACACACACGCATGCACGCATGCCCGCACGTGTACATGCACACGCACGCACACACGCACGCATGCACGCACGTGTACGTGCACACGAACGTACGAACGTGTACGTGCACACGCACGCACGCAGCACTCACGTGTACGTGCACTACATAAGCAGCGCTGCCAACAAAAACACATAACAAATACACGTGACCTGATCTATGACGTCACGTGAAACACTCCTGTCTACGGCACAGGGGGCTGCCTTGGGCAGCCCTAGTACATTTGCCCCCCCCCCCGTTTATCAATTTCTGGATACGCCACTGGTAACTACACGTAACGTACAGATATTTACATTCATATAATTTTGAAATTGCATATCCGGATACATTGACGTAGATTCAGCCATAATTTTTATTATAATATGGCTCATTATCCCTCCTCATTCTCTTCCCTTATTTCATCGTAAAACGAAAATCTTTTCCACTGCAATCTGCAGTGTTTATTTGTCAATTTAATTAGAGTGAAATTATATATTTTCGTTACAGTGCCTTAGACTACAAATTATGTTTGTTATGCGGTTATGTTTATGCCTATGTCTATATGTAGCCCTCGCATATTTATCACAATTTTGAACGGTAGATGGCAGCCTGCACACAGGAGTGTAATCGTCATATCCGCCGTTCTCACCAAGACTTCTCACTGCTTCTACGTTGTTCGTTGGTTTGTGTTTTAAAATGATTTGTGTACATTATACGACTGTGGCTTTATTAGAAACCTGTATAAAAAGACAAACAATCATCGGAAGTTAGAAAGTGATCGTGAGAATTTGAAACAACTAGTGCCAGTAGTGGTGATGGGTGAAAATCAGTCACAACCAGCTCAAATGGGAGGACCAAACATTCAGGAACTGGCGACAATGATCAAGAAAACCCCTATTCAGTCAGACTACAAGCTGACGAAGGACGTTTTAGGAATGGGTATCAATGGCAAAGTAGTGCGATGTGAATCGAGGCATACAGGTCAAAGCTACGCGCTGAAGGTTGGTGGAGCCATGGTTTCGTCACAAGCCACAACACTAAATAATGTTATTTCAAGTTTTGCCATTCTTGGCCAGTCCAATAAATATATTAAAATGATATTGATACAATGATAGTAAATAAGTACGAATCGTGTTTGCTGCCGAATTACAACCACCCTTTCACTGGATACAACTTAAGCTGTCCTGTAAGGTCTTGCAAGATCCTGTGGAAAATGTTCCTTCCTGGTTAGTGGCACTATCGACTATCGAGTATCAGCGCATCACCAAGCAGTAATATCAGGAGCGATCCGAAATTTGCCTACAGACTACAGTCATTGTTTGTTATGCCAGCAAGCTAAACATACCTTACTTAACTTAGCTTTGAGTCAAGTTGCAGGGTTCATCTTGGAGAATGGAAGTGGATCACGCTTAACCCAGTAATGCAATGCATCAGCAGTCCTATAGCTATACTAAGTGCTGATTACACCTATTTACATCATTACCTTGGAACGAGAACGTTTTGTAGAATCTTGGCAAGTTCTCTTGGCAAGTGAAGTTGTACGTAGTGGGAGGCTGGCTGATAATTCTAGTGAGCGAACACAAGCTGTAGTAATGTCAGCATTTTCGTAGTGTCCTTTAAACAATAGATCGACATGTCTCACACGATTGCATCGCCCCATTCCCACAGGTGATGTTGATCTGAGACGTTGCCACATGGCTGAACTCGTTGTTATCTGTCATGCACTTGCTTTTATGTTGTTTACATGCATTTCCAAAAGGCAAACTCTGTTTTCTTACCATATCAAGTGTAGTGGACACTGACAAGTACCATAACATAATACAACACAAAACAATAAAACACAACACTACAATACAACACAATACAATATTACCTTAACATAACATAAAACTCTACAGCCAAAAAATTTCCGTAGTTGCCTTACATCATACATGGTACGCATCTGTGCCCTTTCCATGAATCTTATTTTGTGTATATTCTTCTTTTTCCCACACAAAAAATGCTCTAAGAGAGTTATTCCTTTTTTTGAAGGAAATGTTTGCATCAATTGGTGCCTCTACAGCTTAGTGTGGTGTCCTAAAATATCTGATTGAATCAAACGTAATTTAACTTGCTGTGCCTTGAAAATTAAATTTGACCCCTGTGACAGCAATTGGCCACCATTCAATGTGATCACTGAGCATCTGGTACTGCATCTATATTACTGACGTGGCTGGGATTCTGTGTGCGATTTCACAGGTTTTGGCAGATTCAGCAAAAGCCCGACGTGAGATGGAACTACACTGGCATGGGTCCAAGTGTCGTAACATAGTCAAGATAATTGATGTTCATGAGAACACATTTGCAGGGAGGAAGTGCCTACTTGTGATCATGGAAATGTGAGTAGGCATTTAGAATAAGTGTACATGTTCAAGCTTAGGTACACAGGGCTCATATTTCACCATGGCACTGGCAATGAGTACATGGTTACCTTATTTACAGCGATGCCCTTGAAAGTTTTATGATATGTACAGCAGTAAATCATTGTTACTGCCCTACTCAGTTTGTCTCCTTGCCCTTCCCGTGAATTCCATGTTGTGCATGTACATGTATTCTTCTTTGCCATGTATATAAACAGTGTTGTTAAAAAGTAAGTGGATAAAAAGTCATAGAACTGAGCGCTTTCCTACTGTATCCATGGCCCATCACTGATAAGAAAAAGTTGTATGAATAGAGTTAGGTTAAAACTCAGGGTCCTGGAAAATGGACTTTCTACGATTTGGAAATGTCCTGAAAAACAAATTTTGCATTGGATGTACAAACCCTGGCTTTTGCTGTTTTGTGCTATTGCTTAATCCTAGTAATATAATTATGGCTATAATTTTACTATGCTTGCTGGTTCCTAATACAGTGTTTCCCCTGCATTGACACGAGCGAGGCGGGCCGCCTCGCTTAAATTCTCAGCCGCCACACAGAAATTTGTCCAAAACACCCCCTTGCCGACTCGCTAATCGTTCAGAATAGCTTAAAATGCACCATTTTTTCCAAAAAGGTTTTTTCCTGCAGTGCTCGCTTTGCTAGGACCTCGAAATGCGCAAACACCAAAAAAAATTTACCACATCACAGACCTTTTTGGCCAGGTGGACTGTAATACATAGTTCATATGTACAGTCTAAACTTGAGCCATGCCTGTCTGTATGCTGACTACCCAAACGTCTTCCAAACTACAGTGCCTTCGGGTGTGTTGTATAATCGTTAGGAAATCAATTGTCAGGGTGTCGTGAGCAATAAGACTGACCATATACACTTAGAAATCAATATTGCTTACTAGCGGTGTACCGGAACTTGGATCTGGCCGGATCCCCAATTTTTCAGAGTTCCAGTTCCGGCCGGAACCCTTCAGAAACAGTCGGCCGGAACCGGAACTTTTTCCAAATTTCATTTTTGCTATAAGCGACATCAAGATCAAAAGACCCCCGAAAGAAGTCACTGAATGTAGTTGAGAGTCAATAGTCATATAGTGTTAACAACTTCACACTATTCCACCCAAAAAACGCTTGCCACTTGAAAATTGGCTAACTAACTGAACCAAACTGATGTTAGGTGATTCACAAGATTTTCTTTTAAAATCAAATACTCTTACAGCCACGGGAATGGCATCTGTCTGTTAGTTGAAAAAAATCAACTAAAACAAGGGATACTGCAACATGCAGGTTTTGTCACAGAATTCGCTTGCAAATAATATTAAAGAATTATGGACTCCGACTGTAAGCAGCTGATTCATACACCTAACAACCATCCTGTAATTATAACTTTGAGCATTGTCCTACTCGCCTGAGTGATGTGCCTGTTTAAATAATATTTCGTTCAGGCCGAGTGAGTTTGCGCAATACTGGGTCAAAACTGTCAAGGTAATTCCCAGCTTAAGTTCCGGCCGGAACTTTTTTCAAGTTACGGCTAGTTCCGGTTCCGTCCGGAACTTAAAAGGTTGGATCCGGTGCACCCCTATTGCTTACAGTAGTTTTCGGTTGGCTGCCTTCACCCGTTCCTCCTATCAGAAGTGCCAAAATAAAATTTAAGTAATAGATATGCCGCCAGCTGCCAAAATGTTGAGCTGATCAGTTTTGATACGTGTAACAAATTTCTATCGCATTAGGCCATCCTTAAAAAATTATATGTTTGCTGTCATCCGACCGACCCACGAAAATAGCCGCGACCCAAAAGTTTTTTTTAACATTTTTAGCTCATCTGACATAGTCAGATGGAGCTTGTAGAATCGCATGATCGTCCGTCCGTCCGTCCGAGCGTCCGTCCGTCCGTCCGTCCCTCCGTCAACAGTTGGGCACAAATCTTAACCGCTCGACGTACGGTCACGATATTCGGGACGTTGCGCGTTTCTTTGGCTCTCTGTGCAAGATGTGACTACACTGTGTGCCAGTTATTAAAGTTTGTTCAGTTTAATACACAAGTTTGGATTCTTTCTTCATCATTTCTACATCGAACATTAATTCAACGTTACATTTTGGAGCCAGCGACAGTCCAAAACCTGGGTATTCCTTTGCGGACGCAACGTAAGGTACATTCCACTATGCCGATCTACGGGCCATACTACGCAAAGAAGATGGAGAAGGAAGAAGACACAGGAGGAGTCGCTGGGTACACCGCTGGCAAGAAAACTGGTGAGAGCGAAACGGAGAGCGGACGAGAGAGCAAGAGAGACGGAGGAAAAGAGAGAGAGAGAGAGACGGGAACAACAGCAAGAGTAGGAGAAACGAAGATCGATGGAGAGTGCGAGGGAGTGATGAAGAATGACGGACATTAATTCAACGTTACAACAATATCAACTATTTTACTGCTATTTTTTCCACTTTTGCACAGCACATCATAATACCATTATTTCGACAAGTTAAAATTAGCAAGGCCTAGACAATATACTTAATGTTTACGATATGAGTAAGTATATAGTTAGGGGAATCATGTTTCTGTTTTTATTCAGGGTGTAACTCTTTGTTCAGGAACCTGTGTTTCTGCACAGTATTATCATATTCTGGTGGGCATATTGCCTGACCAAAATAATCAATCCATGCCTTGAGCTGTGTATATGTATTAGGTTACACTTACTGCTCAGCTGACTCACAAGTGTAAAGTCCAAAGTAAAGCCACACTTCCTCGTCAGATGGTTGGACAACACATGTTACTGTGAAACCGGTGGACCCAAGTAGCACATTGATTAACAAAATGCCCATACCCACCAAGATTGCTGGTGGCACCCTACTCACCTTTATCGTCACGTTTCCTTTCGTTATTTTTCGCATGTTGAAGCCAACAGTTGGAATCATGTCTTCACTAAACTGTCCCGACTGGAAATGTAACCAATGACACATTAGAACCATAGAAAAAAATAATGGACCATATCTCAATCGTTGTTGAGAGAAAACATTACGTAGGGCTTGGCATGGAGGGTTAACATACACCGACCTCAATAACCATGACTGCACACAGCAATGCTGCAATAACCTGGGATTAGCTTCAATCTGGAACTGTAGCACTGGGCAAAGGAGTAGGGGTGGGGGTTTCAGGAACATAGCACTTCTCTTCTAGTAGTAGTACTAGTAGTAGTAGGTAAACATCAGGTTTAGCGTCGTAAATTAACTTGCAAATGCCACCACCAGATGGCGCTACGCGGTCTATCGGCGTTTCGGGCGTATCAGTGGAACATCGTCAGCACTCTCGTAGTTCTGGTACAGGGTAGCGAAGGAGCAGTGTAGGGAGTGGGAGGGGGAAGGAAGGGTGAGGGAGGAGGCGAGACAAACCCTATCCGGATACAATTGAACGTAGAATCACCAAGATTTTATTAATAATATGCGATTAATCCCTCCTCATTCTCTCCCTTATTCAATCGTAAAACGAAATAATTTTCACACGGGCAATCTGGCAGTGTGTCCTTTGTCATATTTTAATAGAAGTGAAATAATATTCGTTAACAGGCATTAGACTACAAATAAGTTTGTTATGCGGTATGTTTATGCCGATGTCTACTATATGTAGCCCTCGCTATTTATATCACAATTTGACGTAGATGGCGCATCCTGCACACAGAAGTGTAATCGTCATATCCCCGTCCATCACCACACTATCTGAATGCTTCTAAACGTGTTACCGTTGGTTTTGTGTTTAAAATGATTTGTGTACATTATAGCGCACTGTGCCTTATAATAGAAAACCTGATAAAAAGACAAACATCATCATCGGAATTCGAAAGTGATCGGTGAGCAAATTGAAACAACTAGTGCCAGTTAGTGGTGATGGGAATGAAAATACAGTCAACAACGCAGAGCCCAAAAATGGAGGATCCAAACATTCAGGAACTGCGACAATCGATCAACGAAAACCGCCTATTCAGTCAGACTACAGAGCTTGACGACATGAACGATTTTAGGAAATGGCTATCAAATGCACAAGTAGTGAGCAAGGATTGGTGGAATCGAGGCATTACAGGTCAAAGCCCTACGCGCGAAGCTTGGTGAGCCATGGTTTTCGTTCACAAGCAGCTCTAAAATTACTGTACTTTTTTACAGAAGGCTCTTTTGATTTGTATGAAAAAAGAGGCATCTCGAATAATTTTTTTTTAGCGAGGAGCTATTTTAGGCTTGCCAGAGCACTTAATTCATAGGCATCGAATTTTTGTTAAAATTTCGATAATTTGAATGTCACCTGTCCTAATTAAGTATCAATTCATCTCAGCATCTCAGCACACAGTAATCAGACTATCAGTGTTTAAGAATTTCGTCAACAAAATTACATCGATCACAATTTTTTTCATGCTCATTTCCACTGTCGACTAAGAAACGGCAATCACATTCTATTCAATTTCATTCACAACAGACAGGACATGCAGCTACACAGTACAACATAGTCAAGGGTAAGCAAGACAAGACCAGACACACTCAAAGAATTATAATCGATGGTAAATGATGGTATAGGTTATTTTCCAGTTACTTTTTTTTTACTTTATTTCTTTTCACTTTCAACTTTATTTTTACATCAACTGAGCAATTCAGAACTCAGGAGAAAGTTTTTAGGTTACTTTGAGTATGTTAAAAAGAACTTGTACTGAATCTCTAGGAATGCGAGGAGCTATCTGGGACTTTCGGTTTATTCCACCCAGATCCCACGATATCCGCCACATGGCATAGAATTCAAATGCTGCCCGCACATACCGCAAGAGTTACAAAGTGCCTAGAATATTTTTCATAGTAATATAACAGTTTTACATGCTTCAGAATCTAAAATGAATAAAATAGTCAAGCTTCTACAAATCAGCTGACGAATATCAAGTTAAACAGCTTGTTACCGCCAGTGTCTTCGTGTCAACTGGTCGTGCCCTCACTCCCCGAGC